CCTCAGCCTTCCGAGTAGCCGGAATTACAGGCATGCGCTACCACGCCCGGCTGATTTTTTGATTTATTGTAGAGATGAGGTCTCGCTGCCCAGGCGGGTCTCGAACCCGCGGCTCAGGCAATCCACTCACCTCAGCCTCCCAAAGGCACGGGATTACAGACTGAGCCACCGAGCCCGGCTAAAGTTTTGATCTCAATTAGGCAAATCATTTCCTATAGCTTTTTTGCCAGGGAAGGGTAAGTCATCTACAGATAAAACATTGTATTATTATAGAAAAGTGTGTAAGTCGGAGAATATTTTTATTTATTTATTATTTTGAGTCAGAGAATATTTTTAAAACAAGGAAAGACTTCTTTTTCTGTTAAATAGTTAACTCCTGATATACACAAAATGTCACAGATCTCAGGTAAGGATCCCTGATATTAGAGAACATTAAAGGGATTTGAAAATAATGCTTTGTATTTATTAATGTAGATGCTGAACTCATATATGAAATGCACACAAATATTTAAAGACATGGAGATGAAAAATATATGACTTATATTCCTCCCTGAAGTGTAATCCTGTCACTCTAATTCCATTTTTCTTCCTTGAGCCTGACCTGAGTCTGGAAGTTTAAAATGTGGAATGTGAAAATAATCCACAATTAGATTGTTTTAAGTCTCATTAAAGTGTTACGGTTAGTACCCTTCATTCAACCTTGTGATAGTCATTCTACTAGTATAGAATATGAAATTTACCAGGTACCCAGGGCACACTAAAGACTTCACTCCTACAGCACTTATGTCTCTTTTCTCTTTACAATATATAGAAATACTTTTGAGTTTATGGTAACCTACTTATAGTAACCTACTTACTACATTGTAGTTATCTAAATGTCTCAGCACTGCTTATGTATCATAGATATATTTTTTCCATGCACAAATTGTTGAGAATCTGTAACAGTCTTAACTTTCACATTCATAAGTTTGAGCATATATTACTCATATATGAAGCCTCTGCTATTTTCACTTTGAAAGAAACCATTGACTATTGTAAATTTTTATAATATGACTTAAAAGTTGGCAAAACACCAAAGAAATACTGTCTTTATATTATCACTGGAACTTACAACTAAAATCATTTTATAAATAGGTCGCAGTGTCTGAGATTTTCCAGATGAACTCAACCCAAAACAATGACCTCTTTAAATGAGATTTTTCCTGTGAAGCATCAATAGTAACCATCTGATAAACTAGGACAGACTATGATGCAATCAATTCACAATTTCGCACTTTTTTATTTATTTGACAAGTACATTAAGTAGCATTTCATCATGTCCAAACACTATCAATTTGAAAAATAATGTTTAATTTTTTTATCATGTCTCCCAAACTTGGATAATTACACATAATTTGGAACAAATAAATATGACATGAATATTCCTGAATAATATGAATAATTAAAATGACCAAATATCTTCTTTTCTCAGAATTTTTGTTTTAACACATTTTAGATTCTACTTATTTCAAAATGGGCATTCTGGCTTTCATGTTAAATGGCTAGTTTTGTGGATAATTTACATAGAGCTTTTCCATTGGACATTTTTTTCTCTCCTAGATTCCATTAGTACCCTGAACTATGGAAATATTTCCTGAATTAATTCTTTATTCATAATTTTAGATAAATGGAAAATATTAATTACATTTTAATTTAAGATAAATTAAGAATAGAAGAGAAATCGCTTACTTTATGTAAATTGACTGAATTATTTAATCACTGAAGTTAAGAGAAATGGAGATCCAACCACATGGAAGAAGATGGGTAAATCTCACAAACAATACTGAGTGAAAGAAACAGAGTTCAAAATATATATATAGTTTGATTCAATGTATGTAGAATGGAAACCAAAACATATATTACAAATGTATCAATACTTTGGTAAAGAAATAATTTTTAAAAAGATACAGAATACTTTTCACCAAAGGGTACCTTTTATGTAAGGAAGAGACACACAGGCCAATTCTGTGATACTAGCAATACTCTGTCCCCTAACTTATTGATCAATACAAGTGCTTGCTTTATTATTCTTTAATTTGTATATATATTACTGTATGTTCTTCATCTGTTATAAAATTATACAAACTCCAAATAGAATGTCAGATTATGTTATTCCTTTGTGCAGAACCCTCCAGTTCTTTCTATTTCACTAGGAACCAAAATTATGTTGGTTAGTGATTATCTCCCATTTTGAAGAACTTCTTTTACTTTTAATTTTTTATACTTCCTCAAGTTTGGGACTGCTCTCTATATAATAAGATTGACTTTTTCATAGTTTTAATCCACCTTTTATTTTATTTAAGATGAGCTTCAATTCTGCAATTGTGCTTTACTTTTATGTGGCCTGACTTTATCTCCTTTATTTCCTTGACTTACCTTTTTTATAATCTTTCAACTGATTCTTATTACCTATTCATTTTATCCTATTTTCTTCTGATGATTTTCTTTTTGCATCTTTCTCACCTTTTCTTGTATTCTAATGTGAATGCAAATTAGTTTTTTTGACATTTTTTCTTCTGGATTCCATGTAATTCTCTACTTGAATGGTAGTGGTGAAAACAGCAGCAGTAATAGCAATAAAGGAACACCTGTACTTATCTTTTTTTGAACACTTTAAATCTTCCAGTCACTCTATTTAACACATTACACATTCGCTGTTTAATTATTTAAAATATCATTGCAGCCGGGCTCGGTGGCTCAGCCTGTAATCCCGCGCCTTTGGGAGGCTGAAGTGAGTGGATTGCCTGAGCCCACGGGTTCGAGACCCACCTGGGCAGCGAGACCTCATCTCTACAGTAAATCAAAAAATCAGCCGGGCATGGTAGCGCATGCCTGTAATTCCGGCTACTTGGAAGACTGAGGCAGAAGGATCGCCGGAGCCCAGCAGGCAAGGCTGCAGTGGCCGGGAGCGGCCACTGCACTCCAGTCTGGGCAACAGAGTGAGACTTCAACTCAAAAAAATAAAAATAAAAAAAATAAAAATATCATTGTATTATATATATATATATTATCTTCACTCAAGTGATGAATAATATGAACTCCATGAAGATTGAATAAAAACTTCTATAGTGGTGGAGTACTGACCTATACAGCTAGCTGATTTTAGAATCTCTGCTCCTAAATTTTGTCCTAGATTTCTTATTGTTCCATTTCCCCACCAACATAAAGTGTAGTCCAACTTTTTAAATGTTTGCCAATGTGAGATTTATGTAATGATATGTTGGTTTGAGCTTTAATTTTCCTGACAATTATTAAACTCATGATTCTTTACTTTAAAAAATATAGTACATCCAACTGTCCTCTTTTATAATTTAACTGTTCAAACTTTTGTCCATTTCCCCACATTTTTTTCAAACAGATTTTTGGGAGTTCTTTAATTACCCTTCCTTCAATTATGTGTGTTTTAAATATTTTCTGCCAATTTCTGGCTTATCTTGTCACTTTCACTATGATGTTTTATTAAGTCAACTTTCTGAAAGTTTAATTTATATAAAGTACAATGCATCCATGTTAAGTAGACAGTTTTGTCCTTTTTACAAATTGAACTATATTTTCATTTGTTATTTAATTTTAAGAGTTCTTATATATTCTAGAAAAGTTTACTGTGAGATGTATGATATGTGGATTGAAAATATTTTATCCCAGTCTGTGGTATGTTATTTGTTTGCTTGTTTGTTTCATTTATTTATGTGCCATTCAAATAGAGAAGTTTTCCATTTTTATGAAGTCCAGTTTTATTTTTGTTACTTTCTACTTTTTCATCTTACTTGACAAAGACTTACCTACACAAGTTCCCATACATTTTCCCCAGTATTTTTCAAAATTATTTATAGTTTCTGCTGCTTTTTCACTTATGTCATCCACTTTAAGTTACCTTTTGTGTGTGTGAGGAGGTCACACTCAAGGTTTTCTTTTTCCC